ATCAGCAAGCAGTGGATCCTGTTTCAACGCGTCCACATACGAATGGCTCTGCGTTAACGCGACAGCCAACATGGTGGCGGGGAATTTTGCTATTGTTGATTCTGCTCGCCTTTGCTCGTGTCACCTGGCAACTCGATGGGAAGGATCTCTGGTGGGATGAAAGTTTGAGCTTGCAGCGCGCCGAAGCAGATTGGGAAACACTGTTGCGGGCTACGTTGGTGATCACAGATGGGTTTAGTCACTTCGCCACCACGGATCAACACCCGTTCCTCTTTTTTGTGCTGCTAGGCCCGCTCGTGCGCTTGGCCGGTATCAGCGAATATGTACTCCGCTTTCCCGCTGCGGCTGCGGCCACACTTATGGTTGCCGTGATCTGGGTAGTGGCGAGCAATTTGGCGCGTCGGCAAGTGCTGCCACCATCCACGCCCTATTGGGCAACATTTTTGATTGCCATCAATCCATTTCTGCTTTGGTATGGCCAGGAAGCACGTCCCTATACGTTGTGGGCTCTGTTAACCCTACTACAGACCTATTTTCTGTTGCATCTAATCCAACACGAGAAGCGTACGAATCAACAATGGATGAGCTATCTGTTTGTGACCGCTCTACTTTTGAGCAGCCACTATTACGCCATCTTTGTACTGCCGGTTCATGCGTTGGCACTCTTTATTGTACTGTTCCGGCGCTATCGCTGGTGGGCAGTCGTGATCAGCGGGTTGTTGCTTGTGGCTGGTGCAGGAATTGCGCTCTGGTTGGCCTCGATTGTATGGAGCCAGGGTGGTGGCGGGAACTTTTCACCGATTTCGTTGCCGATCTTGCTGGCAGATCTACTCAATGCATTTAGCATGGGTCTCAGTGTCAACATCAATGATGTCCGTTGGCTCAATTGGCTCTTTGGTCTCTCTTTATTGATTGGTGTGGGTGCTGCAATTCGTTCACGCGCCGCTGTGCAAGCTGGCGGTTGGCTGTTGCCAGCGCTGATCATCGTGCCCATTAGTGCTGTGATGGTGATGAACGAAATCGAACCGGGCTATATGAATGCGCGCCATTTGAGTTTGCTGGTAGGGTTCTATGTGTTGGCCGCTGCCGGTGGTTTGGGGGCGATCTGGCTGAGATGGCGTATGGGGAGCGTGATCCTTGCCAGCGTTTTAGTGGCAGGAACGTTGTATAGCACCGCTAATTACTTTACAGCACTCCAGTATAGTAAAGATGATTATCGCGCGATGGGTGATTATTTGGAAGCAAATCTGCTCCCTGGGGATCTATTGTTGTTAAATCCTCCTTCCTCCTGGCGGATCTTCACCTACTATCTCCCCATTGACCAGATCAATCGTGCCAATGCAACTGGTGTGCAAATTGCAACACAAAATGTACCTCTCCTCCACCACAATTGGCCCGGCACCTTTGCGCTATTGGGGGATATCAGTGAAGAGTATCGCCGTATATGGCTCGCCTATTCTGGCACCCATCCCTTTGATGATCCTGAAGGCCAAGTTCGCGATTGGTTATTTGCCAATAGCGCGGTTCATCTCAAAGAGATTAAGTTTCACAGCTCTGATTCATTTCTCATGTTGGATCTCTTCTTGCCCGATGCGCCCGTGGCGGAAGGAATCCCGCCAGAGATTATGCGCCCACTCAACGTTACGTTTGGTGATCAGATCCGCTTTTTGGGCTATGATCTGGCAATGCCGATTGGGCCACAGAACGCACTGCCGATCACCCTCTACTGGCAAACTGTTAAAGCAACGGAAGATCACTACAAATATATCTTGCGTCTCTCCAAGGTCACCGCGGATGGTCAGGAACAGATGGTGGCACTGACAGAACGTGAGCCGTATGATGGTGCAATTCCCACCAGCTTTTGGGATGTGGGCCAGACGATCATCGAGTACAGCGAGGTGCCGATGACCCAGGAAGCGTTCGATCCAACGCAAAGGTATCAACTCACCCTACAGATCTACCATGCTGAAACGCTTGAGAAGCTCCCACTTACGGCCCCTATTGAGCTCGATTCAATGGTGGATGAACAGACAATTGTTCTGCCCGTCCCTGCGAACCTATTGAATTAATGTGATGACCAAAAGTTTATCCCGATTCATTTATGCTGGCTACGTTGACAGCTGTCAGGTGCGGCACAGCACAAGTCTGTCGAACCAAACACTTCACGTGCCGCACCTGACAGCTGTAGTCATCCATTAAATCGGAATAGCGTCTATTGTTCATGAATGCTCATCATCCGTCAGTTCGCCTATATGCCATGAATCGTGCAACCGCTCACCGTTGGGGACAATGGGGTGTTGGACTCCTGGTACTTGCGTTGGCGGCTGGCTTGCGCCTTTGGCAATTGGATCAACTGCCGCCGGGGCTCTTTTTTGATGAGGCATTTAATGGCGTCAATGCCCGTGCTGTCAGCATGGGGCAAGCATTCCCCCTCTATTTCCCTGAAAACAATGGTCGTGAGCCACTCTTTATCTATCTGGCGGCGCTCTTTGTCCATCGATTCGGGCCAACCCCCTACGCACTACGACTCTGCGCCGCCGTTATCGGCATTCTCACCGTGCCAGTCATCTATCACGCCGCGCAGATGCTGCTACGTACCGAGAACAACCAAAAATCATCGACCACCAATACCCCAAACTCGATCTGTTGGCCCGCGCTTGTGGCTGCAGCGGTGATTGCTTTTTCCTTTTGGCATCTCAGCTTGAGCCGTCTTGCCTTTCGAGTTATCTTGTTACCACCGCTCTCCGCGTTGGCTGTTGCCTATTTCTGGCGTGGTTGGCAGGGGCAGCGATCTCAGTACTATGGTTGGGCTGGGTTTTGGCTTGGCGCAACACTTTACACCTATACAGCGGCGCGTTTGCTACCCATTGTGATTGTCCTGTTTGTCGGCTACCTTGCTTGTGCTGACTTGGTTCGTGAGCGTTTTCAACTGCGACGGTGGTGGCAACAGTGGCAAGTAAGGAGGCAGGGGCTACTACTGCTGATCACTGTCGCAATGATAACCTGTGTGCCACTATTCTATGCCATCTATACCGATCCCACATTGCTTGTGGCACGCACCGGTGATATTTCAATCTTTACTGTCTCTGCCAAAGAGATGCCTGGGACACCGCTGGAGCGTCTTGGCACCAACCTGAGCAAAACGGCCTCCGCGTTCTACTGGGAGGGAGATCGCAACCCACGACACAATCTGCCGGGTCGCCCCTTTCTCGACTGGCCAATGGCACTCCTCTTTACCCTGGGCTGGTGGTATGCACTTCGTCACGGTGCAACGGCGCGTATGCAGTTGCTGTTGCTCTGGATGGCCATCATGCTCGTGCCAACCCTCTTCAGCACTGAAGCGCCACATGCGTTGCGCAGCGCTGGTCTGTTACCACCAATGGCACTTTTGATTGCGATTGGGGCAGAGACAATGATGCGAAGGTTGCAAGAGATCCGCTTTGGCCAAGTATTCGGGATTTTGCTTCTAATCACCATCATTGGCTACAGTGGCTTGATAACAGCACGTGACTATTTCACCCGCTGGGCGGCCCTCCCCGCGCTTGGTGTTGCCTTTGATATCGATCTTCAATTGGCCGCAACGACGGTAATGGAGCGACTACCGTCGATTGCACAGGGGGAATCGCTCATCTTATCACGCCGCCTCTATCTGTCACCGCAGATGCGCTTTGCCGTGGGAAAGCTTCCCCGCCGTGATCTTCCAGGTGATCTCCCCGACGCCGAGGAGACTGCGGCAAATCTTCCTGAATTGGCGTTTCTTATCGAAGAAGATATTGATCCCAATCAATTGGCCTACTTGCTCTACAATGACCAGGATAACAAAACCAGCGATGGCATGGCAAGGGTCGTCGCGAGTTGGCTACAGACAGCAACAACCGATGAACAGCAACCGCTCCTCTTGCAACTAGCCGGATATGAGTATACAGACATTGCAGCACCGTTGCACCAGCCAAGTTGGCCGCGATTGCGCTTGGGGAACTTACCTCCATCCGTACCGCTGTCGGTGGTAAGCCCGATCCGCTATCCGCTCAACGTGACCTTTGCCAATGGGATGCGTCTCATCGGCTATGACCTGACAGCCGATCCAATTGGTGTTGACCGAGCAACTCCCGCTTTTCTTCTCACAACATTCTGGCAGCGTCCAGCACAATCCATGCCGCTGGATACCGACAGTTTCAATCTCTTTAGCCATTTGGTATTTAATGAAAGTCAAATCCAGCGCAATGGTGAGTTGGGTGGCAGTTATCCACTCTCTTTGTGGCAAACGGGTCAACGCTTTGATGATCGCAGGCTCTTTCTGTTGGAAGATCCAACGGTGGCGGGAAAAGTCTATTTTGAGACCGGGCTCTATCAGGCCCAAGGGGATGAGATCAGACGAATTGACATTGTCGATGGCAACGGTAACATTGCTGACAATCAGGTCATTCTGGGTGCTACCTGGGTTGGCACGGAACCATCCCAAGTAGATCTTGCTTCCTTCACACCATTGCATGTACACTTTGCGGAACAGATCGAGCTGGTCGGCTGGCAATGGTCACCTCCGACACAGGGTCAAGAGTCACTACAGGTCACATTGGCTTGGCGCGCACTCGACCGCATGACGACCGACTACACCGCCTTTATACACTTGCTGAATGATGCGCAAGAGATCCTATCACAAGGCGATCAACCACCTGGTGGCAACGAAAACCCAACCACACAATGGGCTCCTGATGAGATTAACATTACACACGCAGAGCTACCTATTGTCACAAACACCGATCTCAGTACCACCCTGCTGCGCGTGGGCTTTTACGAACCGGTTAGCGGTCTCCAACTACCTATTACAAGGATAGCTGATGGGGATATCGCACCAGAAAATACGACGTATCTCTTGCTAAACCTCAACGATCCATCATTCGATTGAGGCTAATCAATATAAATGAGAAGGTACCATGTCATCTCTATCGTCTACGGTTACTGAGGTCCGTACCGGCACCTATTATGATTCTATTGTTTTGATGCAACTCCAGCGTGGGTTGGCGACTTTGCCTGGCGTTGAAGATGCTGGCGTTGTGATGGGGACCGATGCCAACAAAGATCTCCTGGCCCAGAGTGGGCTGGCAAGTGACAACACCCAATCTGCCCGAGCCGACGATCTGATTATTGTCATCCGCGCCGATAGTGAGCCCAATGCCCAAGCCGCAATCGGGCAGATCGACACCTTGCTCACGCGTCGCAGCAGCGCAACCGAAGGGGCGGACGACTACCGTCCTAAAACGTTGGCGGCAGCGACCAAACAGTTGCCAGAAGCCCAGTGGGTTCTTGTTTCGACACCGGGACGCTATGCCGCGGAAGTGGCGCGTGAGGCGTTACGATTTGACAAACATGTCTTTCTCTACAGCGATAATGTCAGCGTGGAAGATGAAGTTGCTCTCAAACAAAGTGCAGCAGAAAAAGGGCTCCTCGTCATGGGGCCGGATTGTGGCACGGCGATTGTCAATGGCGTGGGGCTCGGCTTTGCCAACCGCGTGCGTCGTGGCAACATTGGCGTCGTCGGCGCATCAGGCACGGGCCTTCAACAAGTGACAGCACGCATTCATCAACTTGGCGGCGGCATCACCCATGCCTTGGGCACCGGCGGGCGTGATCTCTCTGAGCAAGTCGGTGCCATTACCGCCAAGCAGTCCCTCGATTTGCTTGCACGTGATGAAGCAACCGAGGTCATCGTCTTGATCTCGAAACCGCCAGCAGAATCGGTCATCGATGAATTGTTGCGTATCGCGTATTGCGTGAACAAGCCCGTGATCATCGATTTTATTGGCTATCACCCACCAGAACCGCAACGTAACAATGTCTACTTTGTCAAGACCCTTGACGAAGCCGCTGCCCTTGCTGTGGAACTCGCCGCCTTTGAAGCCAGTGACCCAACTCCGCCACCTGCCACCCGCTACCCGCCACCTGCGGGAGCCCCTGGGGCGCTCCACCCGCCAAAATACCTCCGCGGTCTCTTCTCTGGCGGCACCCTTGCGTATGAAGCGCAACTCATTTTGCAGGAATATTTGCCTAGAGTTTACACGAACGCACCGCTTGACAAGCGCTTTCAACTTGAAAAAGCAACTGTCAGCCAGGAACACACGATTGTCGATTTAGGGGAAGATGAGTTCACTGTTGGGCGATTGCACCCCATGCTCGATAATGAGTTGCGTATCCAACGGTTGGCACAGGAAGCCGCCGATCCAGAGACTGCTGTGATCCTACTGGATGTAGTATTGGGTGACGGAGCGCATCCCGATCCAGCCAGCGAATTGGCCCCGGCCATTGCCCAAGCCATTACCATTGCGAAGGAAGCAGGTCGCCATTTGGAAGTGATTGCTGTCGTTGTTGGTACCGATGAGGATCCGCAAGATTTAGCGATGCAAATAGCACAATTGGAGGACGCCGGTGCGCAGGTTGAGCAGAATAACGAGGTGGCGGTACGGTGTGTCGGTGAGTTGGTGAGCGGATTGCAACCGATCGCCGGAGATAGTTCCGTTGATCCAACCTTTTTGCAACAACCGCTTGCCGCGATTAACATTGGACTGGAATCCTTTACAGCCAGTTTGTTGGCGCAGGGTGCTGAAATGGTGCAAGTGGATTGGCGGCCGCCCGCGGGTGGCAATGAGCGACTGGCTGGCATTTTGGCGAGAATGAAGGGGGGATAATGAAAATAAACCGCATTGCCATGAATTCCAATATCTACAGCGGTAAACCTTGTATTGCTGGAACACGGATTCCAGTAGGTACAATTCTGGAACTGCTGGAAGATGGATTATCCTTTGACGAGATTGTTACTGACTACTACCCCGCAATCTCCCGTGATGACATACGTGCGTGTTTGGAATATGCAAAAGCACTCATTGATCTTGAAGATATTGAATTTGCGCAAACAGTGATTCCAGCATGAATATCTTTGCCACACACATCAATAACCCAAGGGATAAATTATGACCATCGATATCGATTCCGCCAATACCACCGCCGTTACCCGCATGATGGAGGCACGTCCCGTGCTAACTGGCCTCGGCAAGGCCATCGACGTGATTCCCGATATGCGTGACAATCTGTTGTTGCACGCCGGCCCTCCCATTGCGTGGCCGGAGATGTCGGGGCCGCTGCGTGGTGCGATTATTGGCGCGCTGATCTTCGAGGGCAAAGCCCAAACCGCTGCCGAGGCCGAAGCGTTGGCAACCTCCGGTGAGATCGACTTTGCTCCTTGCCACCACTATAGCGCGGTGGGGCCAATGGCTGGTGTGACCTCTGCCTCAATGCAAGTCTACATCGTCGAAAACGAGACACATGGTAACCGTGCCTTCTCTAACCTCAACGAAGGCTATGGTAAGGTGTTACGCTACGGTGCCTATCAAGAGGATGTGCAGGAACGGTTGCGGTGGATGAATGATGTCATGGCTCCTGTTCTGCACGACGCGTTGGCGGCTAGCGGCCCCATGGATATCCGCACGCTGCTTGCCGAAGCGCTCCACATGGGCGATGAAGGGCACAATCGCAACAAGGCCGGTTCCATTCTATACACCAAGAATCTCACACCGCAGGTGGTGAAAGCGGCACCATCCGCCGACGTGGCCGCAGATATCCTCAAATTCCTTGGCGATAATGCACTCAGCGTGCTCAATCCTGTGATGGCCGCGTGCAAGGCGATGGCCGATGCCGCGCATGGTGTCGAAGGCAGCACGCTTGTCAGCACGATGGCCCGCAACGGCACCAACTTTGGTATTCGCGTCAGTGGATTGGGTGATCAGTGGTTCACCGCGCCTTGTGAGCAACCTGACGGTCTCTACTTCCCTGGATATACGCTGGCCGACGCCAACCCCGACATCGGTGATAGCACGATCACGGAGACGGCGGGGATTGGCGGCTTTGCCATGGCCGCAGCACCCGCGATTGTCACTTTTGTCAGTGGCAAGCCGAGTGATGCCATCAACACGACGATGGAGATGTATGAGATCACCGTTGCGGAACACAAGAGCTTTACGATTCCCGCACTCGATTTTCGGGGTACGCCGACGGGGGTTGATTTACGCAAGGTGGTGGAGACGGGGATCACGCCGCGGATCAATACAGGGATTGCCCACAAGGATGCAGGTGTTGGCCAAGTGGGTGCGGGCTTGGTGCGGCCACCAATGCAGATCTTTGAGGATGCACTCGTGGTATTTGCGGATAAGTATGGGTTTTAGATATGAACCAAACCGCAGAAGCCTTTAACCAAGGAATGACCGCCTGGAAAGAGAACCAAGCGGCTCCTTGGGGACGGCTGCGTTACACAATCGTTTTAGCCAATCTTGCGCCACATCTAGGCCAAGCACCTCAACGTATTCTCGACATGGGTGGTGGTAATGGCGCTGAATCCATTCTACTGGCGCAGCAGGGCCACGAGGTGACGCTGGTTGATTTTTCCAGCGTAATGTTGGCCGAGGCACAAACCACAATCACCGACTTGGAGCTAACGAAACAAGTGGCGCTACAGCAAGCCGATGTGATTGAATTGCCAACGCTCTTTGCCCCAGCTAGCTTTGACGCCGTTCTTTTCCATAACGTGCTACAGTATGTGCCAGACCCACACGCGGCCCTGCAAGCGATCCATCACGTGTTGCACCCAAAAGGCTTTCTGTCCTTGAGCATTCTCAATCCGCATTCAGAGGTGCTAGCGGCAACATTGCGTGAGCTCGATTTGGACACAGCGTTGGCAAAGGTCAATAGCAAAGAGAAAGAGCAGAATATTTTTGGTCTTGATCATCCACTTTATGAGTTAACTGAACTACACCAAATGCTGGCCAATGCAGGCTTTGTCGTTGAAGCACTATACGGCGTGCGCTGTCTCAATGACTATATTGCTGACAACGAACGCAAATCTGATCCAGCCTTCTTTGCCCAGTTGGAAGCGTTAGAATTGGTTGTGCGTGATAAATATCCCTACTATCTTCTCGCCCGCTTCTACCATCTCATTGCCCGGAAGGAGTAATTCTCCATGCTTGGCACCGATCAGCATTATTTGCGCAACGAGCAATACAAAGATGCAACCAACCTGGGCGCACGGGTCAATTATGGTGGATTTGTACGAAGATTCCTTGGCGGTTACTGATGCCCAAACCCTGTGTGATTTTATCTTCTCTGGTCTGCGACATGAGATTGACCCAACCACCAAGGCTCACTTTCTAGCATTTTTGGGGCAAGAAATTGCTCTGGCAGACGGTGTTCTTCCCATTGACAAAGAGGTTGGTATTTTGATTGCAGGTTCTCATTAGGGAACGGGAATTAACTCACTTGTGCATTGCGGTAGACCTACACGGGGGGGCCTCCTAAGCTGCGGTCTACTGAATATCCGGTGCCGACGCCTGCTTCAGCCGCGTCCCGCTAGGGCGTCGGCACCGGATATGTTGGGCGGCAAGTTGCGCCCGTTTGATTGGAATTCTGTATTATGCTCTGGGGAAGCTGTTTGAAAAGCTACGGGCAAAACGTATCGATTGCTACTTTGGAGGAGGCAACTTAGGGTGATAAAGTTTGGGTTAAGATATGCCACATGATGCAATTGTGCTATGAGTCAGAATGCATTTACTCCATCATGAGCAACGTAGAAACAACGCTGGATGCCACGCCGCAGCCAAATGCGCCGGCCGGCGTCTATACCATCTCTATCACCTTCGCGAACAAGATCGATTCACCGTCAGTCGAGAATCTATTTTTTGAGGTGATGACGCTCACCAATGGCAATCAACCGCTCAACGTCGACGGTACACCTGGTGGTGCTGGCGCGAGCTTGACAGTTCCGGCCACAACGCTTGGTGCAGATGGCCGCTGTCACCTGGCGAATCATTCCACATCGACTTTGTCATTGGTCTGCAAGAGCGCAGCCGCTTCCAATTCTTTGTTGATCTCTATGGGCAGATTGATGGCGTCTCTATTGCCAGTAGGAGTTCTTTGTTCAGCGTCGCTTTCGACGAGGAACTATCCACACAAAATGATGTTTCCTCCGCACGCACCAGGATCTGCCTGCCTATCGTGCAACGTTGAGGGCGGCAACCTGAATGGCTGTTTGATTCTACGTCGATTTGAATGCCCTCGCCAGCTCTGATTGGGCTAGTAAGGGTATGTACCACTGGAATGAGTTCGAGATCACCTTCCGCACCAAGAACTTCACCAAGAAGACGCAGGACACCCAGATGCGTCTCTGGCTCAAACCCTACATTGAGTCAGGCGACACCTACTGGTTTGACAGCTTCTCGCTGACCAAGTTGCAGCCCGGGGTCACCACAGCATCGCTAGCAGAGGTACAAACCGGAGAACTCACTGGTCACGTCACCTTGCCCGATACGCTCACCACCGCCATCGTCAAACTCGTTGACATGAAGACCGAAGGCGAGACTTACATCGGCTATATCAAGACCGATGAATCAGGCAGTTACCGCTTCACCAACGTGCCCCACGGCACCTACCAAGTGCAAGTTGAAGCACCGAATGGTTACCTCGCCAGCGAAGCTATCCAACTGGCAATTGACGAGACGGGACACGACTCAATCAACTTCACGCTGGATGCCGCAAGCAGCACCCTCTATCTGCCACTGGTACAACGTTAACGATTCAGGTGCTAGTCACTTGCCAAGTGACTAGCACCTTGACTAGAGATAACTCCAAACAAAGATTAACACAATCCCAACTGGAGCGGCTGAGATTCTCAGTCGCTCTTTTTGATCCTACTGCATTGCAAAACCCTAACTTGAATACGCTTCGCGACGCGTTTTGGTGCGATTGAATGCGATCCCCCTCTCATTTCGCGATGACTTGAATGCTATCGCTAGCTATGATTAAGCTATCGGACCATCAACAAAACAACAGCTATCAAAACTCTGTAACGATCAACTGTTACCTGAACAAATCTGTCCCGATAGACCATCAAAAATTTAAGGAGATAGTTATGAATACGTTTACCAGTCCAACGAAAACCAGGGAATACCACAATCATCATTTTGATTCTACGATCTGGAACGATTTGAAGTTCCGCAACGACGATATTGTGATCTCGACCTATGCCAAATCGGGGACAACCTGGGTGCAACAGATCATCGCACAACTCTTGTTCGATGGCGCGGAAGAGTTGGCGGTGGCAGAGATGTCACCGTGGCTCGACCTCAGGGTGCCACCCAAGGAAGTCAAGCTGCCCATTGTCGAGGCGCAGCCCCATCGTCGATTTCTGAAGACGCATCTGCCCGTCGATGCCTTGGTCTTTTCCGAGCAGGCAAAGTATATCTACATCGGTCGCGATGGTCGGGATGTCCTATGGAGCTTGTACAATCACCATTCGCACGCGAACGCGGCGTGGTATCAGGCGTTAAATGATACGCCAGGCAGAATTGGGCCCCCCATTGAGCCGCCCCCAGCCTCGATAAGAGAATACTATCATGAGTGGCTTGATCAAGATGGGTTTCCCTTTTGGTCATTTTGGGAAAACGTCCGCACTTGGTGGGCAATCAGGAACCTTCCCAATGTTCATTTTGTTCACTTCGCCAACCTGAAAACCGATATGCCTGGGGAGATCCGTCGCATTGCAGAATTCATTGATGTCCCGATCGATGAATCGAAGTGGGAATCTATTCTCTACCATTGCAGTTTCGACTATATGAAAGCAAACGCAACCAAGAGTGTGCCGCTC